AGGCCAGCACCACAGGAGGACAAGCCACGTCTTCCCGGAGCACTGGGCATCGGAGGAGGTGGGCTCTGACGGGGCTCCGTTCCCCTGAGAGCCACCTCCTGCCACAGCTGGCGAGGGCCTTTCCTACAGGCTTAGAACAGCCCTGCTTTAGAGGCGGTGCCTCAGCCTAGGCCCCGGACATCTCAAGTTCCTCAGTTCTGCTGGGACCAGGACAGGCAGCCTCTCCGCACCTCAGAGTCTGAGGACAATGGCCAGTTCCCCAGGCAGGGCCCCACAGACGCCCCAGCACCCTGCCAGGACCGTGATCCAGGCCTGATGCCCGAAGGAGCAGCCAGGCTGGCGAGCTTGAGGAGGAGACCCGATGGGGTGACGAGAGATGAGAGGGCCGGCTGTGGGCAAGGCCGGCACGTGGGGCCTCCGCGCTGGCTCTCAGTGGCTCCTGGGAGGCGGCTGCTGCCCTACTGGGGACGCAGGCTGCCCAAGAAGGGGCTCGGGTCTCCCACAGGACAGGCAGGCTGGGCTGTGCCCAGGGCCCTGCTCAGAGCCCCCGAGGAGATCCAAGAGCAGCTCCTTGCCCGGGTGAGAGGCAGCATTCAGCTCCTGTCTGCGGCTCCAGCCTGGGGACCTGCACCTGGTGTGACAAAGGCACCGGGCAGCTGACCACCCTGATGGCTGATGCCTTGTGCCTGCTGCACTGCCCTGAGCCCTGACCTGAGCAGGCACCTCCTCACATTGCATTCCAGATGAGAAACTGAGGCACAGAGACTGGGTCCCTGAAGAGGTGCCCCCACTCCCTACTTCCAACAAGCCTCAGTGGCCCTGCCTGTTCCCAGGTCCCTGAAGGGCTCAATGGGGCCTGAGATGGGCCTGAGTGGGTCTGAGAGGAGCCTGAGAGGACCTGAGGGGCCTGAGAGGACCTGAGGGGGGCCTGAGGGGGGCCTCAGGGGGGCCGGAGTGGGTCTGAGAGGGTCTGAGGTGGGTGCTTAGAGGTGCCTAAAAGGTGCTGAGGGGACCTGAGGGGACCTGAGGGGGACCTCAGAGGAGCCTAATGGGGCCTGAAGGAGACCCTGGGGGAGCTCTCGCCTTCACCTTTACACAGCCAGGGTTTGTAAGCACCCCAGGTGGGCTCCTGGTACTGCTCCCCCTTTCCCTAAGACTTTCTGAGCCCCATGGGGTAAGCGCCAGGCCCAGTGCTCCGAGGGGAACCCTGAATGGAGCCCCAACATCTGCCAGAGGGCAGGGCGTGGTGGCAGACAAGTCATTTGTGGGAACCACTAAGGCACTCCCTGGTGCCATGGATTAGCCGGGCCTGGCCCCCTGGCCCCCAGGAAGGACCCCAGGAAGGCTCTGGGTGCCGGGAGCACAATGTCCACGCCACACCCTCTCTCCACAGCCAACCCCGGTGGCATCCTGGTCATGAAGTCCTGCGCCCCGACGTGCCCCAACAGCACCGTGTCCTCCGACGGCCGCGCGCTCTCTGTGTCTTGCTGCCAAGGCAGTGAGTGTAACCGAAGCGCGGCCAGCGGCCTGGCGGCCAGCCGCGGGCTCCTGTGGCTCAGCACCTCGGCCTGCCTGCTGTGGGCACTGCTGCGGGCCGCCTGGTGAGGGACACCTGCCCACTGCCCCTCAGCCTGCCCGCATCCTCCCGAGACAACGGCCGCTCCCCCGGGTCCCGCTCTGAGGCCGAGGGGCACGCACCCGCTCCAGGAGGACCAGGCGGGTCCCCCAGCCACTCAGGAGAGGGAAGAGCTTCCTGAGCTGCCCCCAGAAGCCTCTGCCCAGAGGATCCACCAGGGCTGTCGCCTTAGCCCTGCCTCACGGACCCCCCCGCCTGCCCGCCCTACACCAGCCCTGCCTCCTCCCCAGCGAGATTCCAGCGGCTTGGCCACTGCCCACCGCCCCCACACCCCAGGCCTCCCTCCCTCCCCTCATCACTCACTCCCTGAGGACAGCGGAAGGCGCTGGCGGCTCCCGGAGGAGGCTGTGAGCGTCTCGCCCACTGTGCCTGTGCCCGGGCCCGTGTGGGTGGCGCGTTCCCCAGCCCAGTCCATTGCCTACCTCCTGGGGGGCAGCTGGAGAACAATAAAGCAGCGAGTCTTGCCCTGTGTTCAGCTCCGGGAGTGGCTGTGGCTGTGGGGACCGCGGGGGACAGACAAGAGAAGAGGGTCTCAGGGGACAGCTCACATGGGGGTCTCACTGCCCAACATGAGAGCTCCGACTGCCACAGCCATGCTTCCCTGCAGGGCTTCGGCCCCAACTGGCCGCCAAGCCCCACCCCTCCTCCCAGCCCTCCTGGGAAAACAGCACAGAGCAGGACTCCGGACTTCGGTGTTCACCAGCGGTCTGGCTCCCCCGTCTGCCATCACCCATGCCCCCATTTCCACGTGGCCACCCCAGACGTAAGGGGTGGTCTTCCTCTCTGCACCCCCTCTGGGTGGCATCTGGGGGGCCAAAGAGCCCAAGGGACTGCCAGAGCAGTGGGGGGTGCAGACCTCAGAGCCCAGCCCCCCATGCCCCCCCCGGCCAGGCTGAGGGGAACCCGTCCACTCGTGAGGGTAAAAGGCTGTCGCGTGGGGACTTCCCGGGCCAGGCTCCTGTGCCCGCCCCAGCGCTGCCCTCCTGTGACCCCAGGGGCCTGTGGAGTGAGACGCTGGGTGGGGCCCCAAGGCCAGGCATGGACCTGCCCTGCTGAGCCCGGGGGGCCTGGAGCCGGCTGGGCAGGGCCGCTGACATTCAAGCTCTTGGATGCCCTGGGATTGGGGTGGGGGCAGGAACCCTGGGCCTGCATCCTGCCCCGTCCTGTCCCGCCCCAAGGCCCCCTGCCCCCTGTCGCCCTCCCGTCACCCAAACACTCCTGCCAGGCCCAGTGCGCCACGGTTCCAGGGCCTGAACAGCTGTGCCAGCTGTGTGCTTCAAGCAGAGAGGGGCCGGCAGCCCCCACCCATCCCCCCACCGGGCCCCTGGGGCCGGACAGGCGGGGTGGGAGAGGGCGTGGGCCGTCCTGCCGCTGTCTGGTGAGCCAGCACAGCTCTGCCCTGTGTATCATCCCTGGAGCAGTGCAGTGAGAGGCTCAGGAGCCCAGGGGACCTCGTGGCCCCCACCCAGCTGACTCACGGCCCCAGGGTGGGGCATGCCGGAGAGGCAGGTCCAGGGTCTTCCGGTGCTGGCTGGGGGCCTTCACACATCGGGTGATGGCGCCCACCCTCAGCTCCTGCCCCATCCCCCGGCTGCTGCCCCCACGTCGCCTCCCAGCACATCCCTCCCTTCCTGGTCCCCGCAGGGCTCCCACTGTGGCAGGTCCTGGGTTCTCTCCTCCCTCCCACCGCCTCCCTGCTTGAGGCCCTGTATAGCCCTGAGTGACTGGGGGTGTATGGGGAGGGGCGCCTCGCCACAGGCCTGCTCCACTGCAACCAGGACCCAGGGAGCTTGGCCCCGGGCCCCCTGTATCCACCTCCACTTGGCAGGGCCAGGGACCTTCCTGGACAGCACAGCACAGCCTCGCCGTGGAACCAGACCCCCTCTGTCTACCCCTGACTCCCCCCAATCTGGCCCCTCATCAGGAGCCCCCAGCTCTGCCTGCCCAAAGCTGTGTAAGGCACTCCAGGACTCCAACACCCAGACCTGTTCTTCCAGAAGCTTCCATGTGAATCACCCTACATCAGGCCCTTGGCCCTGAGCCCCCAGAGTCCCCCTGAAAGGCTGAGCCTCAAGGGAGGCTCTGGGAGGTCATGGATGTGGGCTTCCCCACCATGTCAGTCGGCCCTGAGAGCTGGAACCCCACAGACAGGCTTCAGCTCTGCCAGGTCACACGCCACAGGCCACACGTGCCTGGGCCCTTCGGGGTGCCAGGCCGTTTCAACAGCAAATTCTGCCAGGGACATACAGCAGCACTGCGTGCCTGCACATGCGCGCGTGTACACACACACACACACACACACACACACACACACGCCCTGCCCACACATGCACACACACACACACATGCCCTGCCCCCCACACACACACTCACTGCCCACATATGCAGACTGCCTATACATGCACACACACCACACACACTGCCCACACATGCACGCACACACCACACACACACTGCCCACACATGCACACACACGCATGCCCTGCCCACACATGCACACACAAACGCATGCCCTGCCAAGACATTTACACACACAACACACATATACACACTGCCTACACACGCACACATGCAAACATGCCCTGCCCACACAAGCACACATCCACACCACACACCATACCCACCATGCACACACATACGCACTGTCCCGCACACACGCACACATATACTCACACACCCTGCCCACATGCCCACACACACATGCATGGGACACGTTCCCTGCCCCCACAACACACACACACACACACACACACACCTGCCCTGTCCCCCACACCCTGCCCTGCACACACACCCTGCCCACACCACAGCACTGCAACACCAGTAGGTAGGGGGAAGAGCACTGGTCTCAGAGCGCAGAGCAGAGCCCCACAGCAGCAGGTAAGGGCAGAGGCTGCCGGGGCTGCACCAGTGTTAACCTCTGGGCACATGACAGTTACACCCAGACCACATCCCCTGCCCGCCCAGTGGCTTAGCACCATACATCTGGCCACTTCTGCTTCCCAGGGCTTCTTCCAGCCTCCCGGCCCAGATCCACAAGCTCGAGTCAGCACCTCCTGCAGTGCCAGCCCGGGTCTGGGCACAGCCATGGGCACCCACAGGCTGAGAAGCTCCAGACCCAGCAGGGGCCCCTGGACTGGGATGGCCGGAGGCAAGGAGGTCCGGGAGAGAGCAGGAGCCAGGGAGGGGAGAGGAGAGGAGGGAAGGGGGGTCCCACCCACAGTATGTAACCCCCAGCGCTCCAGAAGGCCCTGCAGCTGGCAGGGCCGCTGAGGTGGGGCCCATGGGCGGGCAGCAGCACCCGCCCCTCCCACCTCCCCAGCTATAAGGCCCCAGGGAGGAGGGGCACCCAGTGCTTCCAGAGACACCCCAAGATGAACACGGCCCTGCTGCTCCTTATTGTGCTGGCTGTGGCCGCCGGACCAGGTGAGGACCCAGGCCAAGGGGCGAGGGGGGCCCTGGGAACCCTGAAATTGCTGAACGCCCTGAAAGCAGGGTGGGTGGTGTCCAGCCCAGAAGTGGAGGGTTACAAAAAAAACTAGCTGAGACCAGAGCTGCCCACAGCTCAGCCCCAGGACCCTGAGTCAGCAGGGTCGAGCAGAGGACAAAGAAGGCCCCTAGCGGGGCAGGGCACAGGCTTCCGGCTCCCGAGCCTCAATTCCCCAGGGCCGTGGGACAGGGTGGGGTGTAGGTTTTGGCGGGGCCTAGGTGTGGGGTAGGCCCTCGGGTAAGGGGAGATGCTGCCGGATGGGGCCAGGCTCCAGGGCCCTGGTGGGAGGAGGCGGGAGGGAGGGGAGAGGCGGGGAGCACAGGGGTCCAGCAGGGTTTGGCTCAGGCCTGTGTTCGAGACTCTGACCTGCACCTCCCACCAGCCCGGGCTCTCCACTGCCACGTGTGCAGCAGCTCGACCAACTGCAAGAACGTCCAGCTCTGCCCGGCCAGCGCACGCTACTGCAGAACCATGACCACGGGTGAGTCTTGGGGTGCAGGGCGGCAGGCACAGGATGGGGCTTCTGGGCGGGGCACTTTTGTGGGCGGGGCTTGGGGCAGGGGCGGGGCCGCTGTGCTGCTGTGGGCGGGGCTTGAGGCAAAGGCGGGGCCTCTGTGCTGCTGTGCGTGGGGCTTAGGAAAAGGAGTGGAGCCCCTGTGCTGCTGTGGGAGAGGCTTAGGGGCAGGGGTGGAGCCTCGGTGCTGATGTGGGCGGGGCTTATGGCAAAGCAAGGCCTCTGTGTTGCTGTGGGTGGAGCTTGAGGTAGGGGCGGGGCCGCTGAGTTGCTGTGGGCGGGGCGTAGGTCCAGGTGTGACTGGTCCTCAGGGTTGAGGGTGGGGGGCGGGGTCCAGCACCCCTCACCCTGACTTTGCCTGGCAGTGGAGCCGCTGCGGGGGAACCTGGTGCAGAAGGACTGTACGGAGTGGTGCACGCCCACCAGTCACCAGCAGGCCCAGTCGGGCAGCAGCTGGTCCACCACCCAGTGCTGTCAGGGGGACTCGTGCAACGATCGGCTGCTGAACTCCGCCCGCCGGCCCCTGGGCAGTGCACTGCTGGGCCTGGCCCTTGGCCTCCTGATGCTCCTCCTGGGCCACTGAAGCCCCATCTGATGCCCTGGGCTGGGGGGCCCAGCAGCCTGAGCCCCTACACCCCAAACCATGAGAGGCTCAGCTGTGTCTGCTCCAGGAGGGCAGGCACCCCCCTGGGCTCCTCTCCTCTGTTTGGTTCTGGTTCTTTTTCTACTCGATGGAATAAATGATTGAAAACAGCGAGTTGTGGATGCTATAGGGGGTCGGCGCCGCAGCCCCCACACCCAGTCACTCCTGATTCTTCTTGGCCTTGGGGGCACACGCCCTCCCATTATCGTGCTGAGCCCAGGTACCGGAGGCTGCAGGGCCAGACTGGGCAGACTGGGCGGGGCTGCAATCACTGAGAGTCCAGACACCAGCAAGCCCTCAGGCTTGGGACCCACCAGGCAGAGCCAGGACTCCCAGCCATGCCCTAAGTCCTGCCACATCCTCCAATGAACCCCTCCAGAGCCCCTGGTCACCCCAGCAGAGTGGCTGTGTCTGTGTGTGTGAGGGGGGAGTGATGGAGGCATGAGGAAGGGAGAGAGGGAGAGGATGGAGGAATGAGGGGGCAGAAAGAGAGAGGATGGAGGGGGGAGGGGAGAGAGAAGAGGAGGGGGAGGGGGAGGGGGAGAGAGAGGATGGAGGGGAGAGGGGGGAGAGAGGCAGAGGACGGAGGGATGAATGGGGAGAGCCGGAGGGAGAGAGGGAGTGGGTGGCCCTGGCTGGGTGTGCAGACAGCAGAGCTCAGGGCGTCTGCATCCGCCTCCTGGGCACTGGGCGGCTCTGCCCTTTTGGAGTGCTGCCCTGCTGGGTCCAGCGGCTGCTGGTTTCCCAGCTATGAGGTGGTTGGTAACCCCAAGGGAACTGGCACAACTCCTCAGCCTCCCCGGGAGCCCAGAGGCACAGGCATCCCCTCGCACACATGCAGGCTGGGAGCAGGGCTGTGGGTTCAGGTGTGCCCGCTCCCCCCTCCCCAGGGCCAGGGTCCACTGTTCCATTTGCGGCTTCTGTGTCCTCATGGCCGTGTCTGTCGGGTGTCCCTCTCTGTCCTCTTAAACCCTGGTAAGGAGCCCTCTGAGGGCCAAGGCTGGGCTCAGGCACTTCGGAGCTGACTGGAAACTTGGTCCCTGCGCCCGCTCTGCCCTTCTGTAGCCCTGTAGTGGGCACCGGGATGGTTCACCGTGAGGCCCAGGGGCCCAGGCAAGGTACTTCCATCACACCGGCTCAGACTGGCCTGAGCCCCCAATGCTGGCCAGGTGCCCCCTGCAGAGAAGAGGAAGGGCCAAGGGTGAGCTGTCCCCCAGGGCCCCCAGGTGCCGTCTGTGAGGGGATGGACCAGGAAGGGGCTGGTGGCCACCCTGTGCTGGAAGGTCAGTGGTGCAGACTTCAGCGTGGCAGAAGCCCTGGGCAGCATGACCCGGGCAGAATGGAGGGGCCCAGCGTGTCCTGAGCCGCTGCCCAGCCCCGACCGACCCCCACGTGTGGCTGGACAGGTGGCCTCACCCAGTGCCCCATGCCCCACTCAAAGTTTGATCCTGTCTGCCCTTGCGGGATGTTGACTGGCCGCCTCCAACCCTGCTGTGTTCGTCCACCAAGCTCAGTGAGACCAAGGGCAGACCCGTTGGCCGCCCCTGCCTGTCCCCCTCACCACTCAGGCCTGCAAGAGCCTAGCACGTGCCCCTGAGGGGCAGCACCCAGGGTCTGCGGGGGGGGGGACCACTCATGACCGGGCGGTTCCACGTCTGAGAGCGGCCAACCTGCCTGTATGGGTCTGTGTGCACAGAAGTCTGCACAAGCTAGAAGCAGGATTTGGCCTGGAAACGCCCAGCTGCCCGGGGCGCCCCACCCAACTGTAGCCCTGTTCTTTCTGTGTTCTCTGATGAATTGTCTGTTCCAAATCTCTCACGTCCTCCGCATTATCTCATTATTCATCAAAACTATCTATAAATTTGGAATCCAACTTATCAGATATCAATCTGATTCTGCCCATTTTTTTTTAGCAGTTTCTGCTTCTTTGCCCATTTTTTTTGGGGGGTGGGGGGTAGGGGGTAGACCTGGCAGTGCTCAGAGCTTGCTCCTGCCCAGAGATCACTCCTGGTGGGAGACCATGTGGGGTGATGGTCATGGAACATGTGCTGGACACCTGCCAGGAAAGTCCCTTCCCATTGTTCTGTCGCTCTGGCCCCGGAGCAGTTTCATCAAGAGTGAACATTTTAATATTTTGATAAAATTGAATGTATTGATTTCTTCTTAGTTTACAGATTTTTAATAATTTCTGTCCAACCACTAAGAATGTTTCTTCTGTTTTCTTCGGGAGACTGTGAGCTTGCTCTCCAGCCGGTCAGGCTCAGCCGTGCAGCTGCGGGCACTGGGCATCTGTAGGGTGTCTGCTGGCAGGATGCCCGAGAGTGCTGGGCAAAGTTATTCGCCTTTCCCGGGTCCGCTCACCCTTCCCCGGACTCGCTTTCCTGACCTGCTCGGTTCCGTGGCTCCTACAGCAACCTTAATGTCAGGACTATGCTGCTCAAATCTTTTGAAATTTTCAACTTAAAAACATGTTTTTTAAATGCTTAAAAATCATTTTCAAAATTATTCATACTGCTCTAGAGTCACTGCATTTTCATATACAATCTAGAATTAGCTTACTAATTTCTATAGGAATAAAAAAAATCATGGACATGTTAATAGGAATCACATCCAATCCATGGATCAGTTAGGGAGATGCTGCAGTCTTCATATTGACTCTGCTAACCAATAAACAACTCTGTTAATCAATAAACCGAGCATGCCTCTCTATAGCCTTTTTACAATTCATTTTTCTAGTGCAGTTTTCAATGTACGGATCCTGCAAACCTTTTACATATTGATCCTGAGTACTACATTGGGTGCCATTAACAAATGCTATTTTATATTCTTAATGATGAGTTGTTAGCTGCTGATGTATAGGAATAATTGTTTTGCACATTAACCTTTTATACTACAACCTTGCCCAGCCAACTTGGTGCTAGACAGTATGTATGTGTATGCTGTGTCCCTGTGTCCTTGCATGTGTCCACACGTGTGTGTCCATGTGTGTGTCCATGTGTCTGTGTGTGTGTTCGTGTGCACATGTTCCCACACGTGTGGTGTATGCTGGATTTCTAACCCTTATGGCCCTTTCCTTTCTCCTCCTTCAATCTCTGTGTCCTTTAGTTCTTTTTCTTGCCTGCCTGACAAGTGAGGAGACAAGAGTTGATGTCCCTGGCTGTGCCCGGCCCTGGGCAGTGACTAGTGCCCATCTCAGGCTAGATGCCCACCAGAAGCTCTTCTCCTAAGTCCCTTTGTCAGGCGAGAGGAGGCCCCTTACATTTCTAGCTCTTCTTCATTAGGGGCCTGAGCAATAGCACAGTAGGGAGAACATTTTCCCGGCACATGGCCAACCCATGTTCGATCCCCAGCACCCTATATGGTCCCCTGAGCACAGCAGGAGTGATTTCTAGGTGCAGGCCCAGGAGTAACCTTGAGCATCACTCGGTGTCACTCCCCGTCCCGGTAAGAAAGAAGGAAATAGATGCTAGATTTGTTATTTCCAACTTTGCACTTTTTAAAAAAAATTTAATTTTATTTTCATAGTTATTCATAATAATTGATTGCATTCAATATTTCAACACCAATTCCACCACCATGACACCTTCCCACCACCATTATTTCGAATTTTCCACAACCACCCAAGCCTGCCACACAGGCAAATGCTAAATAATTTATTTTCCAACTTTGCACTCTATCACTTTGTATTTCCTCTTTCACACCACTGGTTTCTTTTGCTGCGGGTTTGTTAGGAAGTTTCCATCTCCATCATGGCAGATATTGGTCTCTAGTCTTGTTGTGTCTATTGAGCTTCTGAGTGAGGGTCACGGAGAAGCTTGGGCAAAGTGCTGAAGGGGAGCTGCAGACTCGCCATCATACTTTCTGAAGGGCTTGGTCAAGCTGGCCAGAGTTGTCTTTGTGGACTGAGTTTTAAATACAAATTCAATTTCTTCAGGGGCTGGAGCAATAGCACAGCGGGTAGGGCATTTGCTTTGCATGCGGCTGACCCGGGTCCTATTCCCAGCATCCCATATGGTCCCCTGAGCACCGCCAAGAGTAATTCCTGAGTGCAGAGCCAGGAGTACCCCCTGTGCATCGCCAGGTGACCCAAAAAGAAAAAAAAATTTCAATTTCTTCAGAGGACAGGGGAGTGATTGGACTAAGAGTTGCTTCATAGGTGACTGCTAGTATGTCTTTGAAAAACTTGGCCCATTTCATCAGAGTTGAGGGATTTATTGGTCTTTGTATTGTTATCACTCTCCATCCCTCTCTGTCCCACTCTATGCCTCCATCCACCCCAATCTATCCTTCCATCCCTCTCCATCCCTCTTTCCCTCTGTGTCCTTCTCTTTCCCTCTCCATCTCTCTATCCCTGTCCCTTTACATTCCCCTTCCTCCCTCTAAGTACCTCTCCCTCACATAACTTCATGTCCTTCATTCTTTCTCTCCTTCCTGATTCTGTGACTTTCTCATCCGTCCTTTCTGATGAGAGGCTGGAAAGCCTGACTGGGGCTGTCAAGGCCTCAGCTTGTAGTTAGATTCTTTTCCTTTTCTTAGTTCAGTATCATTGGCCTTTTCCCCTCTTCCTTTAATCACTTCCTTTTTCTGCAACGTGGGCTTTGGTTTGCTGTTTTGTTCTCGAGTTAAGGATTGATACAGATATTACTGCTAAAGAGTTCCTTTAGACACACTCATTAAATGTTCTGTCTTTGAGTTTTGGTTTCATTCCATAATTTCTTTTTCTTTACTAAAACATTTTTCTTTTGTTTGCTTTTGATTTGGGGCCACAGCCGTGACACTCAGGGTTTACCCCCTGGACCTGTACTCAGGAATTACTCCTAGCAGCACTCTGAGGACCATATGGGATGCCCAGGATTGAACCCGAACACATGCAAGTAGTACTTCCTTACCTGTCGTACTGTCTGTCCAGCCCCACATTCCTTTTAAGTCTAATGTCCTTTTAAGTCCTTTCTGTAATTCACAGGTTGTTTA